CAAAACCACAGGCTGTCATCACCAAACACAAGTGGGATAATAACAGAGCTTGGATCGCACAGACAAAAAACTACCTGACCCAGGAGTGCGTTGACTGGCTGAAGAAGTATGTGGACTATGGGAGGAGCTCTCTGCGGAGAACAGGTAGAATCACATGACCTGATGTAGTTTCATGGACACAACAATGTTAAAAAGCCTCATTTGTTTCTAACCAACAGCAACATTATAATAAATATAAACCAACACACAGAGATCAACTTTGTTTACACACATTTATTTATCTTTCATTTTCTCTCTGTCACATTTATCACCTCTCTCTCTGTTTTCTCTCTTTCTCTTTCTCTTTTCTGTCTTTTTCCATCTGTGCTTCTCTTCTTTAGTTACACTTCAGTGAGGTTTATTTACATTTCATACACAGTATATCAAACAGTAAATCGAAAAAATGAAAAACCTATAATCTCTCTCTCTCTCTCTCTCTTTTTTGATTGATTTTGATTGATTATCATTATTATAGATTAATGCATGATTTTTTATCCTTTGAGGTAAGATGGTGTCTAAATAAGGTCCTTTGTGAAATTGTTGAAGAAGAGTTGCTGTTTTCTATCTTTTTAAGATTTTTTATTGGTCTTTAAATTAATGATGTTGTTTGGCAGTTTGTAATAGTTATTGTGTATATTGCAATTAAAAAGGGTTTTGAAAATCAAATCTCTCTCTCTCTCTCTCTCTCTCTCTCTCTCTCTCTCCAGAGCTTCCCTCAGTGTCTCTCCTCCAGAAGACTCCCTCCTCTCCAGTCAGCTGCCACGCTACAGGTTTCTACTCTGACAGAGTCACGATGTTCTGGAGGAAAGATGGAGAGGAGCTTCATGAGGACGTGGACCACGGAGAGATCCTCCCCAACAACGATGGATCCTTCCAGACGAGTGTTGACCTGAATCCTCCAACTGGAGACTGGGAGAAGTACGAATGTGTGTTTCAGCTCGCTGGTGCGAAGAACGACATCGTCACCAAACTGGAGAAACCAAAGATCAGAACCAACGGAGGTAAGACTGGAATCAGATGGTTTTTCTGTCTGTTTACTGACCTTTGATTAAAGAACAACCTTTGTAATTATTTTAGTTTTTAAATCAGTGCAAACAGCTTTTTCTTCAGACCATGTGTAACCATATTAACGTGTAACCACAGCTCATTGATTATAGGTGCTGTATTGACTTCTGATCAGTCTTAGAAGATGAGTAGAGTACGCTGATGTCAAATCATTCATTCTTTCCAAAAACCAATATATGGAACAGAAACAGCAAAGACACAAGTCCTTGAATTCCTTGAAAGTTTGTGGAGTGAACAAATCAAGGCCTGGAAAGTTTTTAGTGGGTCATTGAAATTGCTTGAATTCAGCTTCCTTGAAAGATTGCAAAAAAGCAAGTCCTTGAAAGTTTTTGAATGGGTCCTTGAAAGTACTTGAACTTACCTTCCTTGAAAGTTTTGAAACAAATCAGTTATTGAAAGTGCTTAAATATACTTTCCTTGAAAGTTTGTGAAAAAATCAAGGCCTTGAAAGTTTTTGAAAATGATTTTCAGACAAGTGGAGATAAAATTAAATTAACAGCAGAACAAACAAACAGAGTGTCTTTATACATGATTGAGATCTGGTTGGCAGATGGATTTTCCTGCTTCATCTGAACAGGTTGTGACTGTGTTTTGTTGTTTTCTGCAGGGAATCCCTCTGACATGACTGTCATCATCGTCATTGTTGCAGTGGTTGTTCTTGCTCTTGTCGCCATCGCTGTCATTGGATACTTCATTTACAAAAAGAACAAAGGTGAGAGACCAAAACAAAAATGTACTTTTTTGATAAAGTCAGACATTTTTAACTTTAACAACAACAATTTGTCTTTTCTTTTTATTTCAGCCAAACGCCCTCCATCTCGTAAGTAAAACTTGTTTTCATTCAGTTTTCTTTTGTTTGTAAAACTCAGTGTCAGAGCAGGATGTGGACTAACAGTGTGTTTCTGACCTTACAGCTGTAAGCAACCCTGAAGTTTTGGAGGAGCTGAACCCAAAAGCCTAAATGACAAACACGCCACCCTGAACACAGTGAGTTGCTTCATACGGGACATGAATTTTACACTTGTTGTTAAACTATCTGTAAACTTTTGAGATTGTTTCTTTATCTGTAAAACTTCTGTGACATGTTGTAGTTGTAAAGAAAAGAACAAAGGTGAAACTGTTGTATATTTAGATGTAAATTTAATATTAAATATTAAAAATATTAACCTTTAGAGAAACAGTGACACAAATTTATTTAATTGGTGTTGATCCAAATTAAAACAAATGACTTCAAAAGCATAAAAGGTAAATACTTGTTTTTTTAACATTTAAGTGACTAAATCATTGATATTTTAAATGTAAATGTGTTGCTTTGTGGAATTGAACATTTATGGTAAATTATTTAGTTTTGTAGTTTATCTAATTGTATTCTTTTTGTCTCTTTAGGTTTATGGATAACTTTTGCACTGGATCAAGAAACATCCTCCTCTGTAAACTGGGAATTCATTGATTATTGATCACCTTTTATAAACTGATAGAATCAGGGTTGGGATTGAGGAGTAAATGCTTATTGAATGCCTTACAAAGAAAACCAATTTTAAAAATTAGTTAACAAAAAAAAATGCTTTTGAATATTTAGTTTCAATTGAAAAAGTGGAATTTCCTCTCATTGGTAAAATAAATGAGGATCATTTATATTTTTTTCTTGAAGAGAAGTAAAACAACAATGAAAGCATCACAGAACTCTTCAAACATACCTAAATGATTTAAAGTTGTATGTGTTCATCTTAAACAAATCCACCTTAGTTACAGTTAAAAACTTCTGGTGTTGGGTTTTCTGGTAAAATCAATATGGTAATACAAAAATAAATACACATATATAGACACACACTCATCCACGTACACGCGTTTTAAAATATATATTCATAGGGTCTGGTAATAAGATGATAAATAACAGATATTTGTCAACCCGTAAAACGTTGTCTTTACTGTTTTAATGAGAAAGTTGTTCTTTGTTTCTCTGGTTTTATTCGATCACTGGCAAAACTGCAAATCAATCAGCAATATCCAAAAACATGCTGCGTAAACTGGACACCTTCTAACTGCGGTGAAATATATTGGTTTATGTTTAATTCACTAAATGGCTTCTAAATTGAATTTCCACAAAATGTACAGCATCAGTAATACAACGTGAAATTACACAATCAAACAATGATATGTCGTATCAGTGTTGCCCACCCTAACCTCACACAAACACACACACAGACACACACACACTATAAGCATCAACACCATTTGTTTTCCAGTTTTGTAAATAGTTTGCTTGTATATTTCTTAAAAACGGATAAGATTTAAAGATTTTGTTTTGATTCAAACCAGGCCAAATAAATATTAACTTATGATTGTGAGGTTTTCCTTAATTAATCAGGTGTGTGTTTTTGTTTCATAATATCTTTATTTTGATCTGTTTTGAAACATTATATTGATTTTGGCTGAGACTTTTAAAGGGTTGTGGGTTATGTTTTTAGCTTCTCAGCACACAGATATGTTGTTGAAAATATGTTCTGCTAGTATTTAGGGACAAGGGACATTTTCTCTTAGTTTAGTAAACAAATTGTACATCTGAAATCACATATTGTGTTGGTTTAAGTAGCTAAATGTTAAATGAAGTTTCCCTGCTATTTCATCCCTTTTGTACTGTTCTTCTTTTAAATAAAGTCCCTAAAAGTCCAAATGTGTTTCTTTTTTTTATTCCACATTTGTGACTGTAGCTTCTATTATATGAATATAATTGTGTTCACTGATGTCACAGAGACTAAATGAACGTGGCTCTGATCTGAAGATGTTAAACTAAAGAGCAGGAAGAACAAATGATTTGATAAGACCTGCAATTCTGTACAGACAACTAAGGGAATTTGACTTTTCATCATGAAGTGATCGTGATGGTTTTCTTAGTTTGGGACCATTTTTGTGAAATCATTTAGCTTTCTCTCTCTCTCATGTGGTTTGCTGCTGTCTAATAAAAGGTCTTACCACAAAATGATTTATTTTAATTTGTATTAAGACTTATTAACACAAATAGAGGAAAAAAGAATACTGATGTTTATAACTGCTGATTTGTGTTTTCTTCCTATTTCACATTGTCTGTATATTTTATTTTATTTTATTAATGTTTATATTACCTGGCAGCTCTTCAGCTGAGTGGATCCAGGCTCAGTGTGGCGCTTTGGTTTTCCCCTGAAAAACCTGTTGCACTGAAATCTGCCTGGCAACTGTTGACATTACAACTGTCAGGAAATCCTCCAGGTCAGTGGCTCCTCAGAAGCAAGTATCTAGATTTAATGTGCTGTAGGTTATATCTACTCAGAACAACAACTCCTCTTAGTACCACACTCAGGCCTTACAACCAGACTGTTGCTGTCTCCAGGCTTTGGAATAGCCCGTCCAACATTAAGTCCTGCACCAGCATTAAGAATCAAATCTAATTTAAAGATGTTGTATAACCCAGTTTCTTCAGTATCAGAAATATACTGTAACATCAATGATTATGGTAGTTTTAGAAATCTAGTCGGACAGGTTTAGGGCAGATTTTTGCCGGTTGCAAGATCTGGAAAGAGATTTGTTGCATCCTGTATTTCATCAGATGTCCAACAATAATGAAACTGATTCTTTAACTGAGGCATCTAAAATGTTTCTTCCACAGCTCAAAATAAATTTAAAAAAATTAAACACTAGAAGATAGATTTTCCTTTCTTTGAAAATGTGACAATCACAATAACGATATATAAATATGTGCTTGACAGCAAAAAAGGACAGAGACATGCAGAACTGGAATATTAAAATAATATATTTTTATGGTTAAGTGGCTGAAAATGCCTTGTTTTGTTTAAAAAATATATTATAAAGGATAGACAAAGGAGAAGACCAGAAGAGTCGCCCCCTGCTGGCCGTTCAATGGAATGCAGGTTTCAGGGACTTCCGCTTTCGCATCAGATCGCTGACCGGAAGCTTCCCGCTTGACACACACATATTCCCACAAATGTAGAAATAGGGATGGGGATTGATACCCTGTTCTAAAAGCCTTTGGTGTGAGAGACCCGGGTTCAACTCCCCACTGTGACACATCCACCAATGTGTCCCTTGTACACTTAAACAATTGTAAATCGCTTTGGATAAAAGCGTCAGCTAAATGAATAAATGTGAATGTAAAAGGACCCGGTTCAAAAATTTCTTAAAACAGGAAAATCATTAAGGTCCGAGTTTTCCGATACTGCTATCGAGACCTTCGCGAGTAAAAAGACAATACTTTATCAATACACCTGTCTGTAAGGTAAACATGTGTTGATTTAATCATCTCTGTCCACAGTCTCTCATTCTGTAAGTTTTATACAAGCGCAGCTAACGTTAGCTTGGCAATTAGCCAAATGTTAAAAACAAGCTAAATAGAAAGCTGTCTGTCTGGAGCATAGACTGGTCTGTAGTCTTAAAAACTCAGCTGCTGGCTGAGACAAACCAGCCGCTCCTCCTTCTACCAGCTAACATTACCTGCAGGTAGTGAATAACAGAAGAGAGGAGGAGGAGGAGGAGGAGGGAGAGGAGGGACTGATACAGACTGATGTCTGAGTTTTTATTCTTCGATAGTGGTATCGATAAAGAATCAGATCATTAAGCCGTCTCAATAAGGGTGTCAATATCAATAAAAATTTACGATCGCTATCCCTATGTACAAATAAAGAAAGAAGTTACCATTTTCAAGTGTTCACAGAACACAGCTTTATACATTTCAGGACTATCCAACATTTAGTCATGTTATTCTTTTAGGTATCAGAGACATGACAGGAAATGAGGGAAGAGAGAGACATGAACCAGGATGCCCCTAGGCCTGTTTAGTTTCTCTTTCTTTTACTTTATAGGTCGACTCATTATATTTACAATATTGTGATTTTGTTTGGCAGAATTTATTATTATATACTCAACAGGCTGCTGAAGAGCTCTTATTTGTGTTCTTGTTGATGTTGAAACAGTCGAGGATGATGGAAATGTCTTTAGTTTTGAAGATATTTGGTCATTAACTAAAGGACAAATGTAAAATTTGACATATTGATGGTGATCATCAAAGTCATTACAATTCATTCTGAGGTGGACATAAATTTCTGAACCCAATTACATGGAAACCCAATAGATTTCCATCTGGACCAAAAGACTGACAAGCTTATCCAACAACCGTACCGCTTTAATAGAGATAAAAGATACTGTATATTTAAATGGTAAATATAAAACAAAATTTAGGAAACTTCTCAAGAGTATACTCACTGTTGACCACTCCTCCAGAGTAAGCATCCCTGTGTGTAGCGTGAGCGATCCCACGACGGCCCAGTTCATACGCCTCCTCCACCGTCATGTCTTCCCGGTAACCGTTGTCTATACAATTCACCACTGCTCAAACGGAAACTCATTCAGGGGAGTTCAGTATCTTGCCCTAGGACACTTCGACACGCAACCAGGGGGGAGCCAGGGATTGAACCACCGACCTTCCGATTAACGGCCAACCCGCTCTACCTCCTGAGCCACAGCCGCCCAACAATCAACCCCTTAATCAGTAATTAAGAATGTAGTCTTATTATAGCAGACTTACACCTCAGAAATTCATCATGTTATAACAGTGGATCTCAGTAGACCAAAGCATGAACTTGTCACAGCAGATTTTGAACACCTGTAGCCTATCCTGCTGTAATAAATCTAACAGTTGAACAAGGTGTGCATAGTCTGTGTCTGCTGTCAATGCTCCCTCTCAGGAATCTTAACCACTGCATTCGTGATTACAGCATAGCACTTCTAAGTAGTAAATAAGATGTTCAAAGATTAAGTAGTAAGGATAATTAATAAATTGACCAACAATGATTAATGCTAATTAAAGATACTAAAATTATCAAAAATGATGACCTGCCCTCTCCTGATCATGCTACTTTCACCAAAAACCTCACTTTGTGGAACAAACTGGTGTCTTGTGCTGTGTGCTAAAGACAGGACATCCCTACTGTGATGGACTATATTCATGTATATTTTGTAACAATTTTCACTAATTCTGCTTCTACATTTTAACTTTGCTGGTGTTTTTGATGATGTCTTGCCGCGCTCATTCACTCTGCTCCCAGAGCACACATGCCTGCACACACACACACACACACGCGCTACTGCCTCCGGGCAGTTAGACACAGAGAGGACCACACATACTCAGAGCTATAGAGTCTCACCATTGTGATCTTAACTTTACACTATAAAATAACACTCTAAAATGATGACAAGAGCAATAGAGTTTTGACACTAATCCTAACTTTACACTTTAAATGACAATGCAGACCACCATTGCTCTAGTAATTAATGATAACAATTTAGGCTATAATGCTCTAAAATAATTCTCAACAAGACCTGCATTCTTTGGCGAGGAGTCTCTCCCAGTACTGGCAGTCTGCAGCGCTGCCCGACATGGTGCCCAGCAGGTAGGGGTTGATCTCTGTGACCTTGTTGACATCGTTGGATGCTGCAGAGCCATACATTTTGGAAAAGGAGATATTTAGCGACCAAGATTACAAATAAAATGTGGTTAAAGTATAGCAGCATTATGAAGTATAGTATAGCAGCACATTTTCATTTTGTGATCATTAGTTCATGGTCCCAAATTCTTACAATAAATCAGAATCAGTTTTATTGCCAGGTATGTGTACACATACGAGGAATTTGACTCTGGATTGTACATTGCTCACGATGTGCTTACTCATACAAAAATACAATTGCTACTGTCTCCTATTCATTAAAAATAATTTATTAGCTTCTACTGAAGTAATATGAAAAGTAATTGTAATATTATTTAGTTAGTCTCAATTATAATAATATTTATAATAATTATTATAGAGGTTGCAATGGCCCAGTGGATTAGACACTTGTCTTTGATTCCCACTGCAACACATCCACCAAATAGGTTATTGTCACAGGTCCTGCTTTACCATCCATGTTATAACAGAGCCGCCGCCAGTTTTATCGAGGTGTCTCAGTATATTTTCCTGCTTTTTTGCCACTCACATGCCTGTGCATGGAAACAGATGACACAGCTGCTGCAACTACAGTAGGTGAGCGAGCCAAGCTGACTTGACTGAGGAGGAGGGTGAGTGAACCTGGAGAGAGACAGACAAACAGGGTTGGTGACTCAAGGAAAACCAAGAACAGGGAAAAAAAAGATCATACAGGTTATAGGAGAGTTTGGGTGGTCAGTGGCACCGGGTAAGGAGCAACGAACCAGGGAGGCAGGCAGAGTACAGGGGGAAAATCAGGGAAAACAGAATCACAGACAAAAAAAAAAAAGGAGAAATAACCAGGACACTCGCTGTCAGCCGGGCTCCCACCACAACAGTTTCTTTAATTGCTATAACAAAAAGTTTGATTATTTTATTGCTTTGCCAACTATATGTTATTTTAAACTATAAATTATACATTAAAACATACATACAAATACAAAAGTACTATTTACATAAAATGATATTACCATGTTCAGCATTACTACGATACTGTTACACCAGTTTAAAGGGTAGCTTTTAAAATCTGACTTGAAAGGTTTAAGGCACATTTTTGCCAGTAGCAAAATCTGGAAAGGAGGTTTGGTGCATCCTGTATGTTGAACCAGTGCTTGAAGTGGGGCGGTACTCCCAACACCGGCACCTCGACATTTTATTCTTAGGCGTACCGGGACATTTTCTTGGGTACCAGGACTTCTCCCAAGCTGCCGGTGTTGTGCCGAATTCTGCCTGCCTGCCGAGAAAAGCATGCACCTCGCGGCTGGTAACGCTAATTTAAACTGGCAAAAGAGGTGGGTGAAAATCTCGGCAGGTAGCCTACAACATCTGTCCTGCCAAGTTATGCATCCAGGTCCTTTTCAGACACTTTGCTGTGCTCATAGATCAAACGCGGTAACGTTAATCACGACATCTTTTAGTTGAATCTCAATGAATGCTACTTCTACTAAGTGTAATAAAATATTAACGACTCTAAACGTTGAAAAAATATATATTTCGAATCTTTTATCACAATTGATGAACCCCACGAAGGATATTACAGCAGTATTTGGAGTTGCATGCTTTCCATATCACGTTGCCAGGGCGCTACGTGACACTCACCTACTCGCCTGCCTGCTAAGCTCGGGTGCCTCTCAAGCCGTGTGCTAAATGTAGCTCTTCAATTTTTCTGTGAACCGACCAATCACACCCTGTATGGGGCGGGACATTTAAAATATCAACATACAATGCAGTTGAAATATATTAGAAACAAATGTGCATTGTGCAAAATGATTACTGCATTATGTTACATTATATTTTATATTTATATACTGGCACCTATTTTTGTCCACTTCAAGCACTGTGTTGAACTGAAACTTTTTCTTTTAAGTAGGAATTCTAGTATCTTTGTGGGCCCTCATGTGAGGAGACTCACATGAACGAATAGCCGTGGATGCGGGCAGGGGCCCATAAAGAATTCATACAGGGCCCAGATTATTGTGTAACACCCCTGTCGATGAGGATGTAGAGCTAGGCAGAGGTGAGGGCGAGGAGATGGGCAGAGAGGCATGACAGTGAAAGCCATGCCTCCTTCTGGAAGGCTTTACTGAAGGTGGCAATGGGCAAGATCTGGCAGGAAACTGCCTGGTCCAGAACTACCCAACAGGCTGGCTGGCTGAAGGCTAACAGGCTGTGGGGTCTCTGGCTCCAAAGCATGGTCCAGCAAAAACGTCCAGGAGTCTCTACTTTGAGGAGGACACTGTTTTCTTGAAAATGCATTAGGAGGCTACTTTGTTTTTGATGTATTTCTTTATCAACAATATATGTCCCTTAATGGTTAGTAAAAGTGATATGGGTCTCTATTTCTGTAAATTTGTAGAAACTGAATAGCAATGTTTAAAATTATTTTCTGTTTTGAAATACATCGGCCCTGTGTATCGTCACAGAGACTAAATGAACATGGCTCATGGCTTTATTTCATTTAACTGTACAATCAGGCCTACAGGCTTTGTACTACAGGCTGCGTCCTCAGCCTCTTTCTCTACACTCTGTACACCAATGATTGCATTAGCCCTTCTCCCATTATTTAATACTTCAAATACTCTGATGACACAGCCATAGTCGCCCTCCTCTCTCACGCAGAATCAGTTACAGCAAATCACCAATCCATTGCCCACTTCACAAAATGGTGTAAGGTCAGTCACCTCCTCCTCAACAAAAGACAAAGGAACTCATCCTGGACACACGCTGTAAACCCACCATCTCTATAAACAGCCAGCCAGTAGAAATTGTTGACAGCTTCAGATACCTTGGCATCACTATGGACAATAAACTGAATTTTGATCACCACATCAAAAACATCCACAAACAATGTCAACAAATACTTTTACTCTATCAGTCAAACCACACCTACCGCTTCACCTGTACTGTAGTATCATTGAACCCATCCTCTTGTACTGTGCTACCTACTACTTCACCTTGCTCTCTCTCACCAATAAGAATAAGCTTCTTAAAATTACTAACACCTCCTCTAAAATAATAGGTCTTCCCACTCCCAACCTGCCAGCCTTCATTAATACCGCCACTGTTCGTAGAGCATCTATTATAGTACAAAATCCCAGCCACCCTCTCAACTCATGCTTCACCCTTATCCCACCTGGCCGTAGATACAGACAGCTGCTCTACAAAAAGTCTAGTGTAAAGTTTTTTAACCTGCGCTATAAGAGTGTTAAACTCAGACAAGTTAATGATGTCACTTTTGTGCTATGTGTAGGTAAAGTGAGGAAAATAAGTATTTGAACACCCTGCTATTTTGCAAGTTCTCCCACTTAGAAATCATGGAGGGGTCTGAAATTGTCATTGTAGGTGCATGTCCACTGTGAGAGACATAATCTAAAAAAAGAAATCCAGCATTCACAATGTATGATTTTTAAACTATTTATTTGTATGGTACAGCTGCAAATAAGTATTTGAACACCTGTCTATCAGCTAGAATTCTGACTCTCAAAGACCTGTTAGTCTGCCTTCAAAATGTCCACCTCCACTCCATTTATTATCCTAAATCAGATGCACCTGTTTGAGGTCGTTAGCTGCATAAAGACACCTGTCCACCCCATACAATCAGTAAGAATCCAACTACTAACATGGCCAAGACCAAAGAGCTGTCCAAAGACACTAGAGACAAAATTGTACACCTCCACAAGGCTGGAAAGGGCTACGGGGAAATTGCCAAGCAGCTTGGTGAAAAAAGGTCCACTGTTGGAGCAATCATTAGAAAATGGAAGAAGCTAAACATGACTGTCAATCTCCCTCAGACTGGGGCTCCATGCAAGATCTCACCTCGTGGGGTCTCAGTGATCCTAAGAAAGGTGAGAAATCAGCCCAGAACTACACGGGAGGAGCTGGTCAATGACCTGAAAAGAGCTGGGACCCCCGTTTCCAAGGTTACTGTTGGTAATACACTAAGACGTCATGGTTTGAATCACGCATGGCACGGAAGGTTCCCCTGCTTAAACCAGCACATGTCAAGGCCCGTCTTCAGTTTGCCAATGACCATTTGGATGATCCAGAGGAGTCGTGGGAGAAAGTCATGTGGTCAGATGAGACCAAAATAGAACTTTTTGGTCATAATTCCACTAACCGTGTTTGGAGGAAGAAGAATGATGAGTACCATCCCAAGAACACCATCCCTACTGTGAAGCATGGGGGTGGTAGCATCATGCTTTGTGGGTGTTTTTCTGCACATGGGACAGGGCGACTGCACTGTATTAAGGAGAGGATGACCGGGGCCATGTATTGCCAGATTTTGGGGAACAACCTCCTTCCCTCAGTTAGAGCATTGAAGATGGGTCGAGGCCGGGTCTTCCAACATGACAATGACCCGAAGCACACAGCCAGGATAACCAAGGAGTGGCTCTGTAAGAAGCATATCAAGGTTCTGGCGTGGCCTAGCCAGTCTCCAGACCTAAACCCAATAGAGAATCTTTGGAGGGAGCTCAAACTCCGTGTTTCTCAGCGACAGCCCAGAAACCTGACTGATCTAGAGAAGATCTGTGTGGAGGAGTGGGCAAAAATCCCTCCTGCAGTGTGTGCAAACCTGGTGGAAAACTACAGGAAACGTTTGACCTCTGTAATTGCAAACAAAGGCTACTGTACCAAATATTAACATTGATTTTCTCAGGTGTTCAAATACTTAGTTGCAGCTGTATCATACAAATAAATAGTTAAAAAATCATACATTGTGATTTCTGGATTTTTTTTTTTTAGATTATGTCTCTCACAGTGGACATGCACCTACGATGACAATTTCAGACCATGATTTCTAAGTGGGAGAACTTGCAAAATAGCAGGGTTTTCAAATACTTATTTTCCTCACTGTATGTGTACTGTATGTGTGTATTATGCGTAGTTTGTGTGTAGAATTCATAATGAAGGTGCTTTTTGTACAGAATGTGAAAGCAAATTTCCTCCACTGAGGACAATAAAGGATTCTGATTCTGAATCTGAAATAAAATCTGAGATAAAAGCGTGTGTGTAGTTTGTATTTTACAAATGTTTCTTAAATGTATTCTACCCTACAACTCTTGTAAAGAAATATAACTGAAATGTAATATCAGAAATAAGACATCATATTGATATTAGCGAAATTGTATGCATGAACCAATCACACAGTTGATCAATATTAACACATGCACACAGGTTTATGTGCTGTGGGTGACATCACTTGTTGACCTTCAGAGTTGCAACCTCCTCCATGGGCCCCTTTGTGTTTATAAATCCAGTCTTCTTCCCTTACCCGGCCCTCCTATGTTTATAAATCTTAGTTTACTCCTATCAAGCCTGATCGTCACCCCAACATCCCCTCCAGCCAATTAGCAACACTGTTTAACTGGCTGGGTGTTTGTCTTTGGACAATGTGACAAGGTGTTTGTGTGTTGTGAGAGTAATAAGGCTGAGGCAAGAAAACTGCACCTCAAAGTTCAGTGTATCCTTCTTAAACACCTTAAACATTATTCTAATAAGCATGTTAAACATCATCCTAATCAAGCTAGGCATATAAAATATTCACACATCACAGCTACCTTAAAAACTTCAACAATGTGTACAGTATATATATCCTAAAGATAACAAAATAAATAGGCTACTCAGCAGAAAATAACCTTTGGGGTAATTGTATAGAAACAGTTAATGTCGTTACAGTACCTTTTATTTTCTGCGTGACAAATACTATAATAAAATATGTACAAATACAAAAATTACTATTTATGTACAGTTTATAATCAAAATTGTTTAGGATTGATATAAAGGTAATGTGCAGTTTTAAGATATCAAACATTTATCAGTAACACGATGGTGGTACATTCTCACCTAACCAGTTTAGGGCTCTTTTTTTTCCAGCTAAAAGAAGTGAAGAGATGTGGCGTGTCCAGACACACATAATAAAACAAATGTCTTCCCATAGCATAAATATTCTGAAAACTTTTTTTTAAAACAACCAACAGATGTACGTAAAGCTGAAAATGTGTGGTTGATAGGAAAAAATATAAGAATCCAAAGAAGTGGAGCATTATTTAAATGGAGCATTATTTATCATAACATATTTTCTCCAGGAAATGCTTTCTCGTGTAAACAAAAAATTATATTCTCAATAGTGGAAAGTCACGAAGTATATTTACTTAAATAAGATTGTGTACTTAACATGGGTACTTCAATTTTATGTTACTTTATACTTCTTCTACACTACATTTCAAAGACAGATATTACATTTTGAACTCCACTACTATTTCTTGGCAGTTGTGACATTTTATACAACTGCACATTCCTCTCATTTTAAGTCCCTTCACCATAGTGAATTTTGTAAAATGGCATTTTATTTCATAAAGTAAAATACTGTTCAGTTCAGGTTAATCACTACAGGACAGAACAATGAGTTAAACAAGATTCTTTATTTGGTGTGTTGTGTTGATTGATTGAAAATCTCTCTGAAGGTCTCTGGAGTGGGGTGAATGTGTGTGTGTGTGTGTGTGTGTGTGTGCGTGTGGGTGGGTGGGATCATTGGTGAGATCATCATTATCCCAAGCAGTTTAAAAAATGTTTTCTTAGAAGAAAAAGAAACTTCTATAATCGACAGTATTCATAGTGTTGTTGATCTGAAACTCAGAACATCCCCTTCCTGTAGCGGTGGATCAGCTCTGATACGTCTTCCTTACACACCTTTATCCAGCCATCCTCCTGCATGTGGTACACTAGACAAACACACAAAAAAAATAGATGAACACATGTATACACCGATAAACAACCACAGCTACAAGTTTTAAGGTACTTTATTGCAAGGTTTTCAAACTGTGAGGCACACCTTCCCAGGACGGAATGAAGGGTTAGTCCATAATAAACATCCATAGAAATTATGGAAGAAATCAGAGAAAAAAGATGCTCCTTTAAACTCCAGGGGCTCATTTATAAACGGTGGGTACGAGGCTGGAAAAGTGCATATGCCACTTCCCACACAAAGATTCTAATCTATAAAAAACAAACTTGACGGAAGAATGTGGGGTCCTCCATGCAAACTCTGAGCCTTGTGTACACATATAAACTGGAGAAATGAGAAACGGCGACTCACATGGCAGACGGATGAAACCTTTGAAATGGATACTATTGTGTAACATAATCGAAATATTACAACTGAGTATTATAGGCTAATAAAACTTAATATAAATTATTATTATGTGACTTTATTTGCAAAACAAATGAAAGGCTTTGTGAACGCTGTGCGTCAGCTTGTGGATGTGATGTGCTGCTTGTAAAAACATGGACAATACAACACTATTTATTAAGGAAATCTTTCAGTGTACTGCTTATGTCACATAAAACAAGTCATATTTCTTTTAACTCATCAGCAGCCTTAAAGGTGTCGGAAATCGCCATGCTGTTCAGGCTGCACAACTTGCTGTCTTACATTTACATTTATTCATTTAGCTGACACTTTTATTCAAAGCGACTTACAATTGCTATACATGTCAGAGGTCGCACGCCTCTGGAGCTCTGGGTTAAGCGTCGTGCTCAGGGACACATCGGTGGATGTGTCAGTCAGGGATTGAACCCGAGTCTCTAACACCAAAGGCATGTGTCTTATCCCCAACGCATCTTGTGACTGAGGAGTCTTGAATTGATTGAACTGATCGGTGACAGGGGGTCACACACTACACGACGCTGGTCTCCAAACCACTATTTGTCAAGAAAACACGTGTGAAATGTCTAACGAGAAATGACGCGAACCTACAGACAAAACAGCTGTTGTTTTTATAAAGATCGCAATTATAAAGACAAAGAATGTGTGTGAGAGAATGGATTAGCACACGCATGTAGCAGGGATCATCCGTGTTACAGAGAGAGCTGGAGGTGAGTAAAAAGTGTTTTGTAGCTTTTCAGTCAGAATTTGCCGTCCTTGTTTTCATGTCAGTCTGCATTAATAAAAATGAGGGGCGTTTCACTGAGCATTTATAAGCAACTATAGGTGTTTAAAAGGTCGGATACGTGACATTTCAAGTTGATAGTGACTTATAAAGGCAAATCAGCAGTAACCTTTAGGAGTCTTTTCTATGTACAGTTTATAAATGAAACCCAAGAACTGGGAATCATCACGGTTTTGCATTTCTTAGGTATCAATGTAATTCAGTGATAGTTGTCTCTGCATCTATGGGTACACTGCAAACAGAAATGCTAATAGCTAATTTGGCATAGTTTTAATAATGCTATTTAGCCCAAATGAAAAAAATACATTCCTGCAGTGTCAGACTTTTGAAAACCCCCTGCTCTATTGAATGAGCAACACATTTCTTGTTGTTTACATTGTTTTTTTATACTTGAAATGTTACATTTATAATTTATAATTATAACAAAATAAAGAGCAAACACAAATGAAATATTTATATTAAACTAATATAATTAAACAGTGAAACAAAAACAAAAAATAATCCTTTGAGAAAAAGTAAGGAAGATTCTCAAAGTATACTCACTGTTGACCACTCCTCCAGAGTAAGCATCCCTGTGTGTAGCGTGAGCGATGCCTCGACGGCCCAGTTCATACGCCTCCTCCACCGTCATGTCTTCGCGGTAACCGCTATCTATCACACCATAGGCGTAACTGTTCCCACAGCCCGTAGAGAACATGCGGCCAGACAGACGCGTCCCATTATCATCCACGTAGTACAGACCAGGGCCCTGGAGAGCACAAAGTCATTATACGATCTATAGGAAAAACACTTTGTCTCCATGCACATGCTACTTTCATTATTTTACCAGCTATTTTGGTTTGACAATACAATACCAATCTAACAAATGTACAGTATATACTAATAACTACATTGCTGCCTGTAATATTAGGTGTTGTACTACAGGGTCAGAACATTTCATTCACTTTACTTATTGAGTATGCTGTAATAGAGTTATATTGACTCGAATTACACATGCCTCATCTGGATCCAACAACTCCTTGGAAAAGAAGATTGTATAGAAAGGGCAGTTGTCAGATGAAGAGTTTTTGGGAGTAGAGATGGGCTCAAATCAACATATGGTTTGTGATTTTTGGATGTTTTTGTTTCTGGTCTTACATATTGTGAAGTTTAAAAAGGTTTTGTTAAAAATTACACAAAAATATAATAAACTTGGTGTTAGTTGACCATTTTACCTATAACCAAAAGTTTCTCATTATGATTCACCATGCAAACATGACCAAACAAAAAAAGACAACAAATATGCACCTTAATTCTTATTTCCTCACAAGTCACAAGTACACTCACATTGTCTTCCTCTGTTTCTTTGAGTACCACTACTGTATAAATGGCTTACAACCCATAACCTGACATCCTTTCTCTATCAAACCCAAAGAGCTCACCTGTTTGTCCCATCCACAGATCATGCTTCCCATAGAGAGGCCCATGCCTCTGTAACCCAGCATCATGTTAGACAGCAGCTTGGAGGCAGCAGCCACAGAGATCCTGTGGTTGTTCCTCAGCCTGTACAGCCTGGATGAAACAAAGACAATAGAAGGCAACAAATATCTTGGGTTTATAAAATGGTTTTGTATATTTTTACATTAAATTTAGCTGATGCTTTTATCCAACTGCTATATATGTCAGAGGTTGCACGTGTCTTGTTAAGGGATATGTGTCTTGCTAAGGGACACAATGGTAGATGGGTCACAGTGGGGGATTGAACCTGGATCTCTCACACCAAAAGCATATGTCTTATCCATTGCACCATCACCACCCCATGTACACATCACTTCAATTAAATTATTTCATGCTCATGTTTGCAGTAAGGCAGTTACCAATGATAAAATAAGACATGAAACATGAGTATCACAATAATATATTAATTACTATATTCATTATAATTTCATATAATAGTATACTATTTTACCACTAGTTGAATATTAAATCTAGTTACAGCTGTTTCATTTCTGTGGGTTGATTTTTTATTTATTTAACATTTGTGCAGGAAAAGGCTCTACATTAGTCTCTGATTTGTTCATGCTAAGTACTAACATGTGATAATCATATTGTTCATCATTGTAAAGTTTGCTGTAGCACGTCAAACTTTTTGTCCCGCCACATCCAGGCTGTGGTTGGTCGTGACACCGACGAGAACGTCAGCTTTCAGAAAAGTTAAACATGTTGAACAACAAAAGGCACCAATACAGCTAATGTTAAATAGCCAGAGACCCATACACAAACCTTTCTTATCTTTTCCCAGTTTTCTTCTGTCTTACCGCTTCTGCTGCTGACGACGTCTCTCTATCTCTGTCACAGAGTGACCAGAGTACTGGCATTTCACCCGGTGCTGCGGTGGCGAGTCCAACTAGGTTTTGAATGATTAGAAGCCGGGCGTGTAGGACGATTACGGTGGGTTGTTGTCTTTAACGTTACTCGCACACTGCTCATAAATAATTTTTCTGATTGATCGTATCTGTTTTTAGAGGCACATGCGAGAGCTCGGTGTGGGTGGGGATAATGAGCAGACTGTAGCACACACTGAGAAGAGAGCGTCACACACACCTTTACTGTTTTATTAAATTGCACCCTTTTTGCGGTTATGTAATCGCACATGACGACATCGCAATTGCGATTAGATTGATTGTGCAGCCCTCGTGGTAAATATATACCTAGATATAAATTATCTTGTCCAAGACTTCATTGTTGTTACCAAACATTAGTACTTCTGACAGTGGTCACTGGGAGCCTAATTATCACATTGGTCAACTTTTGTGTGACTAGTTGTTTTGTCAGAGGATCCTTATTTTTTTCTTCTCTAAATAATTCTGTCTTGGCATGATGGTCTTTCTGTTGATACGTTACTTACAATAGACTGTTGACAAATATTATATAATATTTTCCTATTATTCATTGGAATTTAGCCAGCAGGGATTCGGTAGGGAAATGCTAGCATAGTGCAAATCATTAGGAGAGTTTAACCATATGTGCATTCGCTGATCTGAAAAAGGTTGCACATATTGACAGAACATCGGCAGGGAAACAGCATCGCACTCCTGTGGACGGGCAGAGAAACGTGAAGTTTGATTTCAGTCTGATCTTGCAACTTTCTGACCCAAACAGCTACGGCATAATACAGTGCTCAAGGCAGTTGGGCCTATGTGTAGGAATATATGAGTTCTACATTCAGTGCTAAAGGAAACTGCTGTCTGAGGGTGAGGTAAAGTGTTGAAAATATTCTTAATGTAGCGTGCACTTTTTTGTGGTGGGTCTTATTATTTGGCTAAAATTAGTGTTTCTGCTGCCCCAATCAACAGCAGTGCAATTGCTTTGCTTCCCTGCTGAGAATCCTGTCTGCTTCTCCAACTGGGGACCCACTCAACACCATCTCCTGCAGGTATTACATTGACTAGATTAAGTACGTCATACAAGCAAATTTTCACCTTAACGATACCTTAGACATACAGTCAAACTTGACACACCTGCATTCTTTGGCCAGGAGCCTCTCCCAGTGCTGGCAGTCCGCAGCGCTGCCTGACATGGTTCCCAGTAGATAGGAGTTGATCTCTATCACCTTGTTGGCATCTTTTGAAGCTTCAGAATCATGACATATGGGGATAAAGGAGTGATGAGATTTGTGGATGAATTGAGCAGATTGAGGTTGAAGGTGTTTAAAGGAAAGCACGCTAATACAGTGAGATTTGCTACTTAATAGAAATATAGTGCCATACAGCATGGATTAATTTGTGGCTGGTTCTTTGATAAAAAGTAAAATGCATAAACTTGTGTACATGAAAAAACGTAAATTGAGATGTTAACTGCATTTGAACTGAATTTACTGGAATTCAATTGTGAAGAAGTTGTGGTCGACAATCTGGTTTGTATGATATCCTCGAACACTAATTACCTAGGTAATTTCCAGCTGAGGCTCTGGAGTCCACAGCCACGATGACTCCATGTCTGAATTTGAAAGCCAGGGTGGTGGTACCATGGTTCAGCTCTATACACACACCACCGTCACGGTTGCAGGACTTGAGAAACCCTGATGGCTGAAATGAAACCAAAGAAGAGACGCTTAATGGCGCAACTCTAAGTCTGTATAATGACAGTGGTTTGGCCAATATATCATAACCAGTATTATTTGACCATCGGTAACAAAATATCACTAAACAAGAGACGCGTGAAATAGCTTGAATACCACACCGCATGTGACGCTTCATACTTGTAGCAGGTTTTAAGAACTTGGTTAAATGATACTCACGTCTACACCAAGAGGAACGGCAAATTCGTGGGTTTTGGTACCAAACGTGTAGTGGCTGATTCGGTCGACGAGATGCGTCTGTCCTCCCGGAAGAATTTCCCTACGGAGTTCAGAATAAGGCTTATAACCACTTACTTCGAAAAGAGCCATTATGCGTTGAAAGTGCAGCAGAAATTGTGTTTTAAAATATTCAACAGATTAGTCGTAAAGCCTTCAAAAACGACTAAAGCGATTGACGAAGCTGATTCATGTGCAACACGGATAATTTCCTTGTAAGCGACAAAGAATTCGAAAGTGAAAGAGTTTATACAAACTGTCTTTTTAGTCTTTTCTAATCAAATTTGCAAGAAACACATTTCAGAAACACAAAATTAACACACAACTAGGCTCTTAATGAATGTATTTGGCAAGCCCTTAACATTACTTTCACCCCCAAAATATACAAACTGTGATATTCAACCAAAATTACAAAGATAGCTCAACAAACTATAAGCCAATAGGATAGCTTTGTTTTATTTTCATCATCAGTCTCCAAGCGGAAATGGAGCACATAGGTTTTGGATAGCCAGCTATTGTTAGTCACATTGTTAATGGTGCTATTAGATACTGTTCTAGTGTATCAGTAAAATCAGTCAGGCAGCCACAGTAGCATATAAGAACCTCCCCTCCTTTTTTAATGTGACTGAGTTTGTCAATAACGTCCGTGGTTCAAATATTAGTGTCCCAGTAAATAATAGTGAATAAACAAAACATGGACAGAACAAAGCAACAGAAGGCATCATAGTGTGTAAATATAGGCACATTTTATTCAGTGTTTGTTTAATTAATATTACACATTGTAAAAGCATGTTAGAATCTTCTCATTATGGCCAGTCTCCCTGCTTACTCTGCTGCAGTAACCCCAGCAGTAGCAGAGTTTTTTGAACTGTTCCACATCACAGTGAATCATAGCAGCAGAGCAGAAGCCACGATGATAGTCTAATGAAATTTAAGACTTTACTTTTACTGATAAACATTGTTTTGATTGTGCGTCATGGCTCAGGCTGTATCCATCTGCTGCACGGCCTCTTGTACAACCTCCAGCTTTAGGGGGACAACTTTCTCTGTCAGAACCGGTGTTGTGCCTGGACGATATTTGTATTTTATTTTCCTAGGATGGATAGATAGATAGATAGATAGATACATACATAAAAAGGGTAATAAGATAAATAGATTTTCATTAAATGTAGTTGTTCTTTGTTGTTTTACAGAATAAATCACAATTAGCCTTCTTGTTTAATCCAACCTACATTAACCTCAATACTCCATGCTTAAACATAAAAACATTCCATTAAAATATGGTGCTACTTACTAAAATCATTTATTGTAAGAACCAGATCCAGAATGTCATACTGGCCTACCTGCTGTCTTTGTACTCTGACTCCTGGTAGGGTCTGATGTAGTCCACTCCTTGTCTGGTGATGACACAGATGTCGATGTTGTTGCCTGAGCCGAGGTCACTCATGATTCCTGAGTGGATGGCAGTACGCACCAGCTCCTTCGCCTTGTCCAGCTGAGAGAGATCATAACAGAGCAGAGACATAAAGGAGAAAACAGAGGTGCTCATCAGTCTTAAATTATCCATCTGCAGCAATTTGCAAATGCCTAGACACTTTCAGTTTGTTAACAAACAATTCAGTAGGGAGGAAAATAAATGTTTTTTAACATTTCATAACTGCATTATTCAATTAAATTTGCCAAATAATTTTTTGTTCATGTCTAAATGGTTAACTAACAATCATTGTCACAGTTTTTAAGAACTCCTGTGCAGATGGCGTACCTCCAGGTCAGGTTTAAATCCATCCTCTAGGATCCCAAGAGCAGCCAGATCACCAGACCCTGCAGCACAGTAAAGTCAGACCAAACACACTGGATGTAGTCAGAGTAAATAAAATGCATAACTGCAGCATGAGAAATGAAAGCATAACATGCGACAGTAACAGTGCTGGCAAAGCTTACAGTAGCATCACATACCCATTGCAAGGTAAGGCACCTTATTTACACTCCCATAT